GCTGTGGCTGCCCCATCCCTGGCAGTGCTGAAGGGCAGGTTGGATGGGGCTTGGAGCAGCCTGGGCTGGTGAGAGGTGTCCCTGCCCATGCAGGGGGTTGGATCTGAATAATCTTTAAGATCCCTTCCAACCCAAACCATTCCATGATTCTGTGATTCCATGACAAACTGATCCCACAGAGACAAGCAGCTACTTGCAGTTCCCACGGCCCCTCTCCCATTTCCCAGCTCACAAGGCTGTTGTTTCCTTCCTGTGCTCAGAGCCACAGCAGTGCCCAATATTTGAAAGGCCGCAGCACGACTGCAAATAGCACAGACTATTCCTGGAGCTCCCCAAAATGAATCAAAAAACCAACTAGAACATCAACATGTCACCACGAACCACACTGAAGGTTCCTCCTCCACACGTGCTGCAGCACAAGCTGCCTCCTGCCAAAGCCAGTCCCACTGTTTGCAGGGAACTGGTGTGAAACACGAGTGAGCACCAAACGTTACAGGATTGAGCACAACCTTTGTGAAAAACAGACATGAAACATGCATCCATTCAATAACTGCTCCAGTTATTAAAAGTGTCACCTATGGAAAAAAAATGTATTTAACTACTGTTGAACTAATTATTTTCTCCTTGTAGAAAGGAAACAATCACTTCCATGGCTAACACCGTGGACTTGGCCAAGCAGTGGCAGCAGGGAATGAAGCACACACTGGTAAGGAAGTGTTAACCCTTCAGATTCACTTTTATAATTAAGATGCTGGTAGAGACATTAATTTCCAACAGAGGTCCTTCTAATCAGAAAATACAAAAAGGAAAGCAGTGATGCTGAATTAGATATGCCACCCCAATCAACTTTGCACCCTCAGGCAAAGGATTTTTGTATTACTGTTTTTACAAGGTGTTAACACCTTTTTGATCAGAGGCATGAGGAACTCTTTCTAATTTAGAGATTTGATCCCTGATTTTAGCCCTGCAGACGTGATTGCAGGACTAGGGTCATGATTCTAGAGAAGATTATTCATCCACCTGGAGTGGGAGGAAAGACACTGGTTCATGGAAGCTCTGGAGCTTCTCAGCATGTTAATGTACTTATAAAAATAGGATGTGGATCAAGGAAGCTGTACTTGTAATACAGCAGAGTAGGATTTATACCCTTCTTCCTTCAGCTTTCCTGAAAAGTCTTGCACACACCAAAAAGGCTCCTGCCTGTTCTTACTGATGTCATTGGCAAAACTCCTTATTTAAGGCGCAACTCAGAGCCAAAAAAAAACAACAGGCAAAGGTTTAAAGAAGACAGGAGGAACAGGCTGGATCGAACCAGCACCAGCAAGCTGTCCTGACATGACCTACATCAACAGCAAGCTCCATGCACACCAGTGTTCCAACAGGGTGACACCACTGATAATAAGCACCTCTGGATGCTTGAGAGACCCTGCCAGGGGAGGGAAAGCTCCCCAGGGGAATCTTGTCATGCTGGTAAAGGAAGTGTATGTTTGTCAACAGAAAGCGTGGCAGTGCTCAGGCTTCTGCTGACCTGGCAGTGTTGTCAGAGCTCTCTGTCCCTGCCCTGAATCACAGAATCACTCTGGTTGGAAAAGACCTTTCAGATCATCAAGTCCAACCACAAACTCACTCTACCAACAACCCAACTCTACCAAGTCTGATGTTTAAAACATGTCCCCCAGCACCACATCTCTACATCTCTCAAACACCTCTGTGGATGGAGACTCAACCACCTCCCTGGGCAGCCTGTTCCAGTGCTTAATTACTCTTTCAGTGAATACATTTTTTCTAATACCCAATCTAAACCTCCCCTGGCACAACTTGAGCCCATTTTATCTTGTTCTGTCACTTGTTACTTGGCAGAAGAGACCAACCCCCACCTCGATACAACTTCTTTTCAGGCAGCTGTAGAAAGTGATAAGGTCTCTTCTCAGCCTCCTTTTCTCCAGGCTAAACAACCCCAGCTCTTCCCCCAGATGATACTGGTTCATGGAGCAGCTCTTGCTGGAGCAGCTTGACAGAGGTACTCTAAGATGCACAGGCATTTTTGCAAGCCTGGCTTTTGCAGTATTAATAATATATTATCACATCCATCCCTCTGCCAGAGCCTGATCTCAGAGCAGTCAGCAGAAAACAGCAGGTCCTTGGGCCTCAGGTGCTGCTGTTCCCAGCCCAGAGCCAGGCCTCAAACTTCCTTCCATCAGCCCCTTCCTGCAACAGGGCCCATTTGCCACATCATAGGGGCAGGTTCTTCTGCCTTCAGAAAGGGATCCATCAAAACTGACTTCTCCAAGACAGCAAGTTGGGCTGGTCTCCAGCCACAACACAGAGCAGCTCGAAGGCACAAAGGTTATTCCAACCCTGCTGTGAACCACCTCAGCACATCTTCTAGAAAAAGGACTAGAACCAGAAGGCTTATTTTTCTGCTCTTCCTCAATATTACAGTAATTCTACCAAATGACCAGGCCCAGACTCAGCAAACACAAGACAAGAAGCAGAACTTCATCCCATCTCTTCTTGAGATAAGAAGATAACTAGGAAAAGTGAAATCCTTCCCTAACTTGCATACAGAAGAATTGTTTCTGGTCAGATCTCTGTGACCCTCTGATGCTCCTGCTCCAAGTAAGACACTTTTTCTCCATTGTGAGTACCTAAAAGGAAGTTGTTCTTCAGCTTCATCTACCCCTTCTCCTTTAAAAAATAAAATTGAATTAATGTTGAATGCCAGTGTAAATGTAGCTCCATCATGGTATAACTAAGGCTCCTCCAGACCCCAAACCCAGCTTCTTCAAGACCCTTTTATTCTAATTCCTCAGTATATTTCAAGTGCCACTGCTTACAGTCCTTGAAAAAAACACCAAAAACCCTCAAAGTCTCAAACCCTGCCCCCAACTCCCTCCCAAACCCCAATGAGCACACAGCAGGAACTCTGAAATTTCACTGCAAGTTTATGGTCTCAACCTAATGCAGAAAATGGACATGATCTTTGTTTTGCAAAAGGGTTCCTTACTACAGCCCATTTTAAAAAAGCCCACCTCAACACTCTCTTCCAAGCTCAGACATGACACAAAACCACTGGCAGGACAACTATCCATAAGGAAGTGTCCAGAAGAATGCAGGATGTTAAAGAACCTCTTCAGTGTTCAAAAGAATAACACTGCCACCTTGGAGGGAGGGCCAAAACAGCTGAGCAGGTCACCAGGTTTCCTTCACCAAGGAAACATTTCTCTGGCTGTGAACAACAAAAGACAGAGGAGGTAACTGAAGTCACATTTTTCTTCTGCCTTGCCTCACTATTCACATATTATCCAGACACTTCAGCTTGCTGGAGAGAATTGTTTTGAAGACAACATTCCATAAATGATGACACGTCACATGCTGTGGCTCAGGAATGACTCCAATGCAGGGGATGATTTCAGGCTCTGTTCAGTGGTTTGGTGGCACTGCTCAACCCAGGATTTGGCAAGAAAAGGGCCAGAGAATACTTGGTACATGAGTTATCTTGTCACTTTCCTACAACCAGTAGAGGGATGTTTGTATCAGTCACTTCCTGGCACAAACTGGAGTCCCAGGGGTACAAGATTGGTGTGGTCAGGGGCTGATGGGACAAACAGCTCCTACACTGAACAGCTGACACAGAGTCATGATGCCAGCTGAGACACCCTAAGTGCTGTCCAGCCTCCTCACCCAGGTGCTGCAGGACTGACCACAGATCTCAAAAAGCATTTCTGACCTTTGTGGTCATAAACACCACCTAAAAAATTAGACACAGTCTATAAATTAACACCCAAGTCTGCAAATGGACAGAAAACACACACTGGACATCCAGGTTATCTCAGCTGCTGGAGTCACCGTGTGTCCCCCCATCACTTTGTGCTCTGAAACCCAGCAAAGTGTCCAAGTCAACAGATTTTGACCAAATGCTCCAAACCAGCTCTGCAGCCAAGTGCCTGGGGCAGCCCCTGCTGAGATCACCCACACATTCTTAGTCTGCTCAGTGGTGTAGAACTGAACAGTGGCACATGTTCCTACTGAGCTTGAGATTTTCAAAGAGTGGGGCTAAACATGGGTCATACACCTCTGCTAAGAGACATGTGAGTCTGGAGAGACCCCTCCCCAGCACTAGAAACTGCATCCCCTAATAAAGCTGCAGTTACTCAATCAAGGTGCTTTAATTGCACAGGAGGTTCCATGCCTGCAGACTGTGCCTCTTTGCTCAGGTGCACTTCGAGAAGTTCCTTGTCAGGCTGGTGAAACACTCCTGCCAGCAGCACTCTGAGGGCAGAGCTGTGAGAGCCACAATCATTGGGGTTGAAAGGGACCTCTGGAGATCATCTAGTCCAACCCCCTGCTAGAGCTGGATCCCCTGGAGCACTTTACACAGGACTGCATCCAGGCAGGTTTGGAATGTTTTCCTACCCTCTAGCAGATCAACACTCCCCCTCAACTTGGCAAATTTACTGAGGGTGGACTCACATTCAGGTCATCAATACAGATGTTGAACAGGACTGGTCCCAGTACTGACCCTGGGGGCACCAGCAGGATGCAGTCACCATCACCCAGTCACCATCACCCCCTGGGCCTGGTCATCCAGCCAGTTTTTAACCCAGCAAAGGGTGCAGCTGTCCAAGCCGTGGGCTGCCAGCTTTTCCAGAAGGATGCTGTGGGAGATTGTGTCAAGGTACCAGATCAGTTTGGCTGCTGAACTGTGACAGGAGGAGAGCTCCAACAGGCAGTTCCTGTGGCCTCACTGAGCTTCCCTGGAATGAGAAGGAGGTGGGAGGAAAATGCTCCAACACCCAAAACAACTATGAGCACATTGCACCTCACACAGACTAAATCCTTCTTTAGAGAAAGAGGAAACTGATGCTAGGAAGGTTCCATTTCTTGAAGAAAAACTCAATCAATCATCAGAATAATTAAAATCTTCCAAAGGAAAACACACAAGACAAACCCCACTCACTGATGACATTTTTTAATTCAGCATGGCCAGACTTGGTCAAAGTAACTTGTAAAACCAACAGGATAAGACAGAGCCAGGACAGGCAAGTTTCATATTTACAGTCATTCAAAGGAACAGTGTAAAAGCATCTCTCAGATAGTGGGGACAGGAGCATGCAGACATACAAAGAATTTACATTATTAGAATGTTATTATATTATTTTCTGAACTATTAAAAGGACCTGTTGCATTTTTTACTGCCTGATTCTAATTCTCCAACTCCTCCTCAAAATGACTCGTGATACAAAAATAAAGAAAAAAGCCACTTTTTCTGCTTGTAAGCAGCAAAACCACCTGCTTTTGTTTTTCCAGACATTATTGAAGTGGCACAGCAGAGTGAACACTAATGCTCTATTCTTTACCATTAAATTAAAAGAACAGTTCAGCAAAGGGAAAAAAAAAAAACACCTGACCAAGTCAGTGTGATCATTCAGTTGGATTCTGGATGACAATCAGGAAGTAGTCTTTATCTGGAGGAAAGAAAAAATAAGATTATTCTTTCATTGCTGATATTTGTTCAGAGCAACAGTAAATGTCAACATTTTTTCCTGTCTCACCGGTGCCCTGTGGGAACTCTTGAGTCCTGGCAGTTCCTTTCAGCGAGCAAAGGAGGCCTGGGCATGGCAGATCACTTTTTTTCCCTAGGTTTTACTGAGGAAAAAGGCTCAGCTTGAGCAGCTGCATGGTCCTGAGGCAGCTGAACTGAAGTCAGTTTGTGCCCTGGAAACAACAACTGGCAGCTGCAAGGATGGAATCAAAGTGGGTGGTGCAAGAGAGTGATTTCCCTCACAGGCAGAGGGCTGGGCTGCAGGGCCTGCAGCTGCACTTCTGCAGGAGCAGTGCTTATTCCTCTTTTCATCCTTCAATGGGAATCAGAAGCTGCCTCAGCACCAACCCCACAGCCTGTCCCAGGGCCAGCCCATTTCCTGCCGGGCCCTTGCCTGCCCCAGCCCTGCCTCTCCACCTGCACCAGCCCAGCCCAGCCCCCAGGCTGAGCTCCTGCTGCATCCCTGAGCTGCAGCCATCCCACTGCTCCTGCTTCATAACTTGATGAAATACTGAGGATACTTCCTGAGGAGCAGGTTGCTGCTGCTGCTAGGTTCTGTGCCTGCTGATCACAGCTACAAGATGCTCTATTATTTTTCTAGGAACTGGAAAATCTATCTGACTGTTTTGCTTTATCACTCGACAGTGCTGAACTGAAACAGCTCTCCAACATTCTCCTTTCTATCTCCAGGGGTTTTATACTGGAAAACACAAAGCATGAGGCTGCAACAGGCTCTAAAACACTATTTAATACTTCCTGCTTTGATCAACATGAAAGGAGAAGATGATTTGCCACATTCAAACATGAAAAGGACACTTAGGTCAAGGCTAAAAGCTTTCAACCTCGAAGAAAGCCAACAGCTTTTTGGAAAGGAAGAGCTTACACAACATGAATAATAGCAGCAGGCAGAGCTTTTCTGTCAGGCTGACAGTGTCCACCTCAGAGATCAGAACTCTGCTGCATTCCCTGGCCCCTGCTTCCCAGCCCTGGTACCTGGTGCCACCATGATTTCATTCTTCTTGGAGCGGATCCGCAGGAAGGTGAGGTCGTTCTGGGGGTCGATGTCCCGCACGGTGCTCCTGGCCTTCATGATGAAGCTGTGCATCAGCCCAGCATACTGGATCGTTGTGGAGTTGTCCATGGTGCTTTTGATGGGAATACCTGAGGGAAACAGGGAAGAGAAAGAGGCAGTGACAGAACTCCAGAACTGACTCCCCCCTGGGCATCATCAGCTCCGAATGAGGTGGGTGTTTCACCTGAGCAGATGTTCTTGCACCAGGGATCAGGAGTGTTCTCTTAAAGGCTTAAAATGAACACAAATAAGGTGTGGAAAGGGTAAGATCTGGAACCACAGGTGTAGGTGAGAATTGTTTGCTTCTAGTAGCATCAGCACTTTCCTTCTCCTTTTTTTCATTGATTTATGAGGTTTTTAAATAGAAAAAAATAAATATCTGGGGGGGTAGAGATGAAATACCTGTTTCAGCTTTGTTCTCCTGACTGGGGACAACTTTTCTCTTCAGAAAGGCTCCCGAAGTTCACAGTTAAATCACCCCTGGGCAACCTGGGCCAGGGATCGCACCACCCTGACACTAAATAATTTCTCCTAATATCTAACCTAAATCTCCCCTCTTTCAGTTTAAAACTATTATCCCTTGTCTTATCACTACCCTCCCTAGTGAAAAGTCCCTCCCCAGCTTTCCTGGAGCCCCTTCAGGCACTGGAAGCTGCTCTAAGGTCTCCCTGGAGCCTTCTCTTCTCCAGGCTGAACACCCCAACTCTCCCAGCCTGGCTCCAGAGCAGAGGTCACACACCAGCTGTTACACTTACAAAGCTCCAGCCTGTCCTGTGAGGTCCCTGGTTCAATTCCTGTGCACCAGCCAAGAGGGCAGAAACACTGACCCTGTTTGGGCAGAGTTTTCCCTCTCTTACACTTCTGCCACTCTTTAGATATGTTTTCCCACAAAAAAAAGCCAGCCAAAATCCAGCTCCATGTCAGAACAATGCAGCAGCCAACTACCAAATCCTGGCTCAGCAGAACACTGCTGCAGGTGGACCTTCACATGAGAGCAGCTTCAGCCTGGAGAGCACAATCTATGATTCCCCATCATGGAAAAGCAGCATGCAGGATCACAAACTGCACACAAGTAAGCAAAGGTCTGCTCTTCAATATATTCATGTACAGCTACTGTCCGTCATCTTTCCCAGGGATAATTTCTAGGAAATAATCCATTTAAATTGATAATCTCATGATCTTAAAAAGCTGGGCTGCTCACAGTGTACTCAGAGTGCTCTGAACAAGTCTGTTCTGTGGGCCCCTTCAATGACTCCAGAAAGAGTCTCACAGAACTGTTCTGGTCAGAAAAGACCTTTAAGATCATTGAGTTCAACCATTAATCCAACTCTACTGAGTCTGGTGCTGAACCATGTCCCTCAGCACCACATCTGCATGGCTTTGAAACCCCTCCAGGGATGGTGGCTCCACCACTGCCCTGGGCGGCCTGGGCCAGGGCCTGACAACCCTTTCCAGGAAGAAATGGTTTGTAATATCCAATCTAAACCTCCCCTGGCACAACTTGAGGCCATTTCCTTTCACCTGTTCCTTAGGAGTAGGGACTGATCCACCCTCACTCCAACCACCCCTCAGAAGGTCTCCCCCTCAGCCTCCTTTTCTCCAGGCTCAGAAAGGCCTCCTGAGGCTGCAGAGCCTGCCAGGCCAGCAGCACCTTGGACATTCCCAGCAGCAGGATTCCAGCTGCCAACAGAGCCTCCAGTGTGACTGAGAAAGGCTTGACAGAAGACAGCCCCAAACACTGCCATAACTGAACCATTCCTAAGCTTTTGCAATTGATTTATTTCCTAAAATCAAGTGTGCTTGCAGAAAAGCAGGACTGGGAATCCAGTCTTCCCTTGCAGCCTGACTGCTGCCTGTCTGCTCTGGCTACAGGAAAACCTTGGCTGCTGACAGACTGACCTCAATGCTCCCAGTGCAACCAGGGGCCTTGAAGTGCATGTTCAGAGTCACAGAGCCCCCCAGGTGCCAGTACCTTCAGAATTCACAACTATGATTCCTTGCACTCCTTTTTGGCTCTGAATTCTCTTCAGTGTTTCTTCCACCTCAGCCTGCAAAGAGGAAGGAAGCAGAGATCAGCAGGAGGTGGCAGCTGCTGTTTCCCTTCCACCAAAGCTCTGCCTGACAAGGAAGCTGCACAAAGATGATTCCAATAGATCCTGCCCACACTGTTCCAGACCCCAAAGTGCCTGAGCTTTAGTGGGACCTTTTCTGCATGATCTTTTCAGCTGTTTTCCATCTGTCTTTGTTCACTTGTGATTATCATCTTGTAGAAACTTGGAACTTCCCTCTAATCTTTCCCTGTCTTCTCCTCCTCCCCAGCCTTTCCCACAACAGTTGCTCACTGTGGGCTGGGAATTTCTAGGACTGCTCCCTCAGAATGCTGCTGCAAAAGTCATGTATGAAAACGTGGCATTTGTGAAAAAACTGAGAATGACACATTCTGGGTGCAAGACCACAATCCTCTCATAAAATGAATGCTAAGAGTAATCAAAAATGGGAAGTGAGGGAGAACCAATGAATAAATGCCATTAATTTATAATGATGATTTGTGCTCAGAGAGCCACAAGATCATAACCACTAACAATCAGTTATAACTCTGCAAAATGGACTTTAAAAAAAGGAAGGAGGCAAACTGCAGGCCAGGGCTCTGTGAAACCACCATCACCTTCTGCAGAGCTTCCACAGAATCACAGAACTACCCTGGCTGGAAAAGACCTTCAAGATCATCAAGTCCAACCATTAACCCAACACTGACAAGTCCTGAACTAACCCATGTCCCTCAGTACTGAGTCTATAGGACTGTTAAATCCCTCCAGGGATGGTGACTCCACCACTGCCCTGGGCAGCCTGTGCCAGGGCCTGACAACCCTTTTGGGTGAAGAAATTCTTCCCAACATCCCATCTAAACCTCCCCCTGGTGAACTTCCACTGCTACAGGACCTCAGATGAGGTCCCTCTCCAGGTCAGAAGCCCTCAGCACTGGAGCTGCTCTCCAGTGGTGAGCACTGGCCAGTTTTTATTCCCATGAAAGGAAACAAGAGACAGGCAGCACCTTTCAGATCCTGCAGGACCTGTGGAAACAAGTGTTGGAGGGAAGACAAGGAACCACCTGAGTTCAGGGAAGGTGAGACCCACGTGGGGCACTGGCCAAGCTCTTGGGAATGACCCTGGCTCCACTGCTGCCCCCAGCACACGAGTGTGCCCAGGCTGTGAGCCCTGTTCCCTGGGAAGACTTGTCCAAAGACACCCAGGTGGCCTCCACCCCAGAGCCACAGCAGCTGCTGCTGGGGAGGGATGGAACCATCTGAGCTTGTCCTTGTGAGGCAGAGCTGTTTCCTGTCACATCCAGCAGAGAAAAGCAGTTTCTACAACAAAGCTCTGGGTTATTTCCCAACGCTGGGCTGTTTGCAAACAGAAGACAAAGGAAGTGGAACAAAGAAGGAGCTGGAGGGTGCAGAGATGCTGAGGGAACCACGGGGGGACACTGGGCAGGTGTAACTGCAGTTAAATGTCTTAATAGATCACTTCGATTTCCCACCTACAGCCTGGGGCAGCACTTATTGCTATAGAAACGTTTCCACCTATTTTAAACCCAAATGAATGAACGTGCCCTGGGCAGCTCCGTGTCCCGGCGGGAAGGGCCTTCCCGAGCCGGGATCTGCCCCTTCCCTCCGGGATCTGCCCCTTCCCTTCGGGCTCTACCCCT